TTACCATGTGTTACATTGAGATGAGTAGTGTTGCTGTTGGTTTACATATTTTGGTGTTATCATGTAATTACGTACCTCACGTTACACTGGTGTGTGATTGTGGTGGAGACGTGTTACGGTGTGGTCGAACTGTAATTTCACTATACTGAATGTATAGTGCGTTACGTTGTCTTATTACTGATAATGATTAATGAGTAAGCAAGAGAGCAAGTTTAACATCCGCTCTCACACTTTTATTATTTTTAACAATTATTGCTATCCTGATGTATTTCCGAGATCAATATTGCGATCATGTGGTGTAATTCTCCGACATCAGAAGTGGGATAAAGTCCCTGTTATCACTCACATATAGTCTTCGAAAAGTGTGATAGTTATTACCTTTGTGTAAGACTTCGCGTTTGATGATTTTGTTTTATTAAATGTCGAAATAAAATTTGCTGTCCTACTTACGTACATTGTAGTGTGTACTTACGACATATGCCGTGTAGTGGCGGTTAAGAATATCCACTACCCCATATCTTCCCGTGGGTATCGTAAAAGGCGATAGAGAGTCAACAGTGGTAGAGCCACGCGGCAGCTTTTGCTGTCACACGGATGGGCCGGCTTGAACCGGGGTGGTACCACGACCTCACAGAAAACCAGCGTGAAGTAGAGGTTTACCTCTGCGTTTCGCTTGGTGAGTGCAGGTGGCCGGAGGCCCATTTTACTGGAAATGAGGCATTTCATCTTAGTCCTCACGGGTGACAACGCATCTACATTTTGATTTGTAATAGAGGATAGATGTAGATGCCTATGGGCCGCAGCAACCACTTACCATTAGGTGGACTGTGTGCTCGTTTGTCACCCTTATCCTATAAAAAAAGGGGAAACAGGCAGGGGATGGGCAGCAACATCTTCCTGATAACATCAAAAGTACAATAAAAAAAACTGCCGTTGCCAACCCGCTCGCCAAGCGTTGAAACTATAGCGAATAGCCCCCAATGATTAGAGCAACAAAAAAACGGCCCCCAATCCCAGGCGGCCCCGCTATTCCTGGCTACGGTGGCGACCACGGTATTGGCGGGGAAGAAAGTGCTAAGAATCTCCGGTGGAGGTTCGCTTGCCACCTAAGACGACTTGACCTGGCAACATACAACGCACGCACCCTGAGGACTGACGAGAAGATCGTCGAGCTGGAAGAAGAGATAGACAAGTTACGCTGGCATATTATAGGATTATCCGAGGTCCGAAGAGAGGGGGAGGACACGGTAATCCTCGAATCCGGCAACTTACTCTATCACCGGGAGGGCGACCATCTGTCCCAAGGAGGTGTCGGATTTATCATCCACAAGTCTCTCGTTAACAATGTTGTAAAGATTGAGAGTGTGTCGACGAAGGTTGTTTCGTTTGGTTTGGTTTGGTGGTCGTTTGAAGGTGTGTGTGTCGTTTGGTGATACCTTATACTCAGAATCACCAAACGGTATTCGCTGAAGGTCATTAAGGTTTACGCACCAACCTCGGCACATCCCGATGAGGAGGTGAAGGAAATGTATGAGGACATCTCTAGAGCCATGCATTCCTCCAAAACCCACTATACGGTGTTAATGGGAGACTTCAATGCAAAACTAGGTACAAGAGAGAACGGTGAGCTGAAAGTACGGAAATTTGGAATAGGGCAACGGAACCCAAGAGGCCAGCAGCTGGCCGAATTCATGGAGAAATAGGGACTCATTATGATGAAATCTTTCTTCCAGAAGCGGCCCCACAGGAAGTGGACCTGGTCGAGCCCCGACGGTTCGACAAAAAAAGAGATTGACTTCATTATGACGATCAGACGATAACTGTTCAGTGATGTCTCCGTGATCGCGAGGGTGAAAACTGGTAGCGATCACCGAATGGTTAGAGGCACACTGAACCTAAACGTAAAGTTGCAGAGGTCTCGTACTAATAGTGCTCCGAGTGAGAGTGGTCTGTTCCAAAGTCCCGAAAATTTCAGCTCGAGTTACAAAACGTTTTTCATTGCCTAGAAGACTGCAATGAAGTGGACGATATGAATAACAGAAAATCGAACTGAAAATCCAATAATGTTATTCTGCAACGGATTATATTGTGAAAAGCGAAAAATTTATGTGACTGAATATCTTTCTCCGGAATGTAAGGCACTTCATGCTGCAGCTAGAAAATTTGCAAAGGAGAAGAAATATAAACATGTGTGGGTTAAGTTCAGACGTATATATATATAACGTATATATAACATGTGTGGGTTAAGTTCAGAGAAAAGAAGAGTTCCGGAAGTTCCGGAGAAACATATTCAGTCACATAAATTTTTCGCTTTTCACAATATAATCCAATGTCATTATTATTCAAGGGACTATCTTTATAGGCTTTATTATAACGATAACACGCGGAGAAAACTTGATCCCTTAAGCGTGGGTTAGTGAGCGTTACAATAATATTTCTAGCGCGATCGGAGGAGATGTCATATTTGGCAAGTCTACGGCAAGAATGAATGTTCTCATCGTCTATTTGGAGATCTACTGTTATACACAGGTTGCAGAATAACATTATTGGATTTTCAGCTCGATTTTCTGATACAAACTGAATTTAAATATTTTTATTACGGGCTATCTTTTTGATAGATGTTAAACGATTGGTTAGAACATTAACCTCCTTTTGAAATCGAAGAGTTTCAGATTATAGGTGTTTTATTGTATGACTGTTATTTTCAATTTCTTGCTTTAGGGAAGACTGTTTGTCACATATAAAGTTAGTGATAACAGTAAAGTCGTCTTTAAGCCGCTGCACCATTGAGTCCATCTCCGCTTGAACAAGGTTTTTGACGTCATCCTTCAATGCTATTCTAAAACTTTCCACAAAATCCGATAGATAACTATTAAGTTTTTTATCCAACAAGGTTGTTTACTTTGGCCCATGGTGACGAGATTGTCGTCATTTGGAAAAAACAATTGGAAATCCGTTAATGACCAGCTTGAATATTCACGGAACGAATTCATTAATGTGAATGATGCAAACACTCACGCCTGTCACCCAGAGGGGTAGGCAGAGACTACGGACTTCCATTTGGCGCGATCCTGACACACCTCTCGCGCCTCCTTTACATCCATATATCTACACATACACGCTCGTTAATGATACTCCTAATCTGGCCCATTTTCAATGTATCGCCGATTTGGTCGATAAACCTTCGTCTAGGGCGTTCTTTCCCGACTCTGCCGTTCACTTCTGCAACATAAATTTGCTTTGTCACTCTTTCCTCGTTCATCTTTCTACATGATCATACCACCGAAGCATTCCTTTTTTAATCCTGGTCACAACGTCATCTTGCAAACCACACTTTTCTCTTATCACACTGTTTCTCATCCAGTCATTCAGATTCAGCCCTAGCATACTCCTTAATGACCTCATGTTAATGAACATATTTATTTTATTTAAAAAAAAAAGCTAGGAGTACATGAAACCGTTACTGTCAGCGATAGGTAACCGTTTTTTATGGAATAAAGGCAACAAACCCCCACACAGTCGACCTGATAGTAAGTGGATGCTGAGGCCTGTAAACATGTACATCTATCCTCGATTAAGTATCAAAATGTAGATGCGTCACAATGTCACCCCTGATGACTTAAATGAAATGCATCGTTTACTGTCAAAAGGGTCTCCGGTTTTCTACATTAAATACAGTATCATTAAGCTGATATTTCATGTTGGTATTCTGTGCTAGCGTGCTCCTTTACCGGACGAGCCGACCATAATATGCTGGAGCATGGCTCTAATACGTACAAAATGCTAAATTTTACATTAGTTATAAAGAGGAATAGAGTAAACTGGCTGCCTCCGAGAGATAAAAGCGCTTAATACGCCATTGACTATATTTAGTTGTTAGAGGTGAACTCACATTGGGCTGTTCATATTTGTGATATCGAGTTGAACGTTAAAACCAATCTTGTCAGACTCGGGCACAGGAAAAAAGTAGCCAGCTGAGTACGCAAGAATAACGTAACTTATCCTGGGAGGAACATTTTACGTGAGAGGTCAGTTGACGGATCCAACTCGGCTTGACAGCGTTCGCAAGATTACGACACATTCTCTCGTTACGTATTGCTCAGAACTTGAAGCAAGAGAGTACAATTAATGTGTGTCGCTAGTGTATGGATCTGAGACGCTATGGAAAAGGGTTATTGCTCGGAGTTTCTCTTACCAACATAGCCCAAAAGAGTAACCGACATTACTTAACGGATCAGTAAGCTGAAGTGACAATGGGCCGATCATCACGTTTGTTTTGTTTCTCCTATAAAAATAGCTCAAAGAACAGACAACCGCGCAGTGATATATACTCGTAAGAGGATTAATTAGCTGAACTTTTTTTCTAAATGAAGTCATTTTATATTTAATTATTAAAAAAAACATGCGTGAGTGTTTTGGAACACTCGGTTGGAACAAACTTTCTTTCGTATTATATTATTATTGATAAACGTATTATATTATTGATTAACAAATACAAATAAATGAATTACTAGCGTCTATTAAAATGAAGCGTCATTTAAAATAAAATAATATTTATTTCATCGCAATATAAGAAAAAGTGCGAGGGAGATGGATATTATGCCATCTCGCTTCCTTAGAGCCGCCAAGGCCGTCTACACTACGTCAGCAGAGATCGTGATTTTCAAGTTGTCGCAAGAAGTAAAAGCGATTTGAATGACATACTGCGACCAGAATATGACCGTGTAAGTTATACGTTCTCGCGTGCAAGGCGCGCGGCGCACGCGGTGCAGGCACATTTATAAAACGGATTAGCGGGCATCGTTGCGTGAAAAGCAGGCTTCACGTTGGCAAAGACATATTCGAATTTATGCAACCAAAAATGGGAAAGAACCCGTTTAAATTTACATAATAAGTACGAACAGTGCAAAGCCGCGAAGGTCAACCAGCCAGTGTGTCTTTGGGTCTCCAATAGACCACAGCATTGTTTTATTGACCGTTTAGTGCATATGTTGACCGCGATGTGTGAAAGACATGACTATATTTTCACTTTCCTGGCGTTCACAGCGGCCTTGTACAACTCCTGCACAGCTGGACTTGCCCGTAAGTTTTCATTTCGAACAAGTAGACTAAGTACTGAACAAAGTATTGATCACATTTTGAAATTTGAAAAAATTAAAAAGAAAACTTTATTAAAAGTCAATTTCATTTTTAAAAGCGTATGTGTAATTTGACTCTAAATAAAATAATTCGTAAACTCAACTTTTATATACATAAACACACATAATAAGAAAACATAAAATAAACAATACATAAAATATAACGCAGAAGCAAAAAATGAAATATTATATATTATGAGATTAATTTTTGGCAGTTTTAGCTTATTATTCAGTGAAGGTTTTAAAAGCCCACTGAGTATAAAAAAAGAAGTTAAGAAATACTTCATTAATATAATTTTATATAGGTAACTAGTTTTATAGAAACAGTGATTTTTATTTTACTGTAATAATCTCGGGCATCTTTTTTAAATTAATTTAAAAATTTGGATGATTGGACGTGGACACATATTATAGTTTATAATCGAAATAATTGTGGAAAACGCGGAAAAGTAAATGTAAGCATAATATTGGATTCAATGTATTAACAGAATTTCACATTTTCACGTAGTAGAGCACTGCTGCGGCTGTAATAAGACTTCAGCACGAATGCATCAGTACGATTTCTATATCAAGTTTAATTTTGGCACGTCGTAAAACGTATTTATTTAAGGTTATTAAGGAAAAACGTTCATCAGTACGAGTATACTTTTAAAAGAATAATAGTAACGCTGTTAACATTACTAGCATTTCCATTAACCAGTCTAGCTATTTTTTTTTTATATCCCCATATAAAAGGCGAGCTTAATGCTATTTGGCATTCTCTACCAGCTAACCTTGGGTAAAATAGTGGTAATTCAATAATTTATGTATAATTGACACACATGTAAATAAATACACATGTTTATACATATATATCTCAATTAATGTACTAAAAATACTTAAGTGTAATAAACATAGAAAGTAGATCTACGGATATCTTCGTACAGTTTTCTTTTAAATACATTTTTGGCAGGTATTATTCACAGGTCAACAAGGATATAAATTCAGAATTGTGGAGAGGAGTAATAAACTATGTGAAGAATGCAGATTGAAAGAATGAGTGTCACTATGAAATAGGAAACTTTCTTTTAGATAAAGAGGTGAGGAAATATCATTAGGAACTGAAAACAGAGTAGACAGGATTCGGAAATGTCTGCGCTGGCGTATTGTCAACCATTTAACTGGGAGTGGAATTGTGAAACGTATCTGTGCAGGCAATTACAATTTTGTTTTACAATTAACAATTTTGTCGTCAACATTATTTGCTTCCAGCAATGGGCCCCATTTTATATTCATAGAATCGCGGTCTAGTATACTGATGTCAAATTTATTAAAATTTCGTAAATACGCATATCGAGGAACGAAGAGGTACATCATGTTGAGAAAACGCCGCAACAGCCAGTTGATCATGATATATAGCATGCTCGTTGAACTAATGCAAATAATATCTAACCATGACTCTTCGGTGTCCACAACGTGCTAATGATGCTATGCTTTGCTAGGTAAGCTAAAGATGTTCGTGCTAGTAACGCTGTAGGAGTGAGGAGTAGTGAGATTGTACCGTTGATTCGTACTCACTACCTATCATTTGAACGCACATGTAGAGCTACATGTATGTTAAGCGATATCTTTGCCAATTGTAAACCGATTTTAATGATTCTTTTCTGCCGACTTCCAAAAAGGAGACGGTACTCAATTCGACTGTATTTTTTTTCTTTTATTTTTTATGTGTGATTTCGATGATTCTTTTTTTATATGAAATCTGATACATCTTGTCCCATATGAAATTGATCAAGGTCAGACCAATAGTTTTTTAGTTATTCTTAAATAACTTATATTGAAGTCGGCTGTACAAAATTTTTAATTTTTAATTATTTTATGGGCATTTAAATTTCTTTTTGTAATGCGTTTTTATTGTGAGTTTATAATATTGATCAGTTTAAAAGGGTTATGTAATTTAACACTAAAAAAGTTAAAAATGTATTTTAGAATGTTAAAAAGAATAATATAATTTTCATATAATTTAATAGCATCTTCAGTCGGTGTTAAGATAGAGTGCATCGAAGAATTATAGCCCTGCCTCAGGAGCCTATATTTGGTAAAATATTATTGTTTTTATTTTTGAATTCTGCTCCTCATTGTTTTTTAAATATTTGTTTATAAAACAGAACTAAGTCTATGTTATTCTTCTTTTGTAAACAATGTCATAATAATAAAGTTTTTGTAAATAAGTATTGCTGTAAAATAAGGATATTGGAATGTAAATAGAAAATATCGCAACCTAATAAAATTTGTTAAGCAGTAGGATATGGATATTTTTAAAGTAATAGAAAACGCAATAATCATGAACCGCAAATAATGCGATACACATGTTTAGCCTGTCTTAACAACCTTCGCCTACATATTACAAATAACTTGGTTGCATCAAGCCTACACTGGTAAAAGGTAAGGTGTTTATTAATCAAGCAAACGCCAAATGTTTATGTATGGGTACGGTGTTATTCATTCCTCTTAAAAAATTTATCATTAACTCTTATAGAATTAAAATGATTAGGCGTGTAATTTTCGTTATTTTCGACGTTTTATCGTCGAAATATAACTATTAATTGTGTCTCTGGCACCTTATAATAAAGAATTACAATGATGGGCCCTGCATTTAAATTTAACTATGTATGTGATTGCAACGAATGAAACATTTTGGTATTTAAAATCCAGGTCAAGTCCATTGGAGTGTGTATAAGCCCGCGGTAACGATGTTGAACAGTATATTGGGCTACGTTTAAATTATGTTCTTGTAATAACTTGTACAATAAAAATATTGATAAAATCTACAAGCCATATCTGGGGGCACGGTAGTGCCCCTGCCAAGTCGAGCAAAAAAGCGGCACGGCCGTACCATCCTTTTCTCGAAGCAGTTTAGGCCATTTTTGAAACCCTATAACTTCGTTGTGGATAAAACTAAAAGCCTGAAACCAAGTAGGCATTATTTAGAATCGGTATATTTCAAATTTCATTAAATTTGAACCAGTAGTTTAAGAATTGTAACTAGTCAAAGTTTCTTAATTTTGTCACTCACTGACTGACCGATCATCAAAACTCTAAGGCACTTCTAGCAGACAAAGAAGCTTTAAATTTGGAATACAACTTTTGTTTAATATATAAATCAAGGAAAAATTAAAATATTTTGCAATTTTGGTCCAGTTTTCGAGATACACTAACTGCATAAATAACTTTGTAATCCCATACAAATATATAGGATTACAAAGTTACATTTGCAGGGAATAATAGGTGTAGATAGGTACCTAGATGTAACTATCTCCAAAAAGAAATGAAATGCCATCAAAAACATAACTTGTAAAAGAAGCCATGTCTCGCAACTCAGTTCTACCGTAAAAAGTTGTGAGATCCATGTAATACCAAGTCGGTTAATTTAGTCAGTCCCTACTTAAGGGTCCTTCTGTCTTAAGTTGTTACGTAATTAGCTAACCTAACAACATCTTATAGTAACCACATCAATACTAAAAATCTTTTATATTTTAAATAAATAGATTGACTTGGCCATCGCATGAAAACGCAATGTATCTCGCAAGTAATACATATTATATTAAATTAGATTGTTTAGTGCGATGGCCAAGTCAATTTATTTATTTAAAATATAAAAGATTTTCAGTATTGATGTGGTCACTATAAGATGTTGTTAGGTTAGCTAATTACGTAATAACTTAAGACAGAAGGACCCTTAAGTAGGGACTGAATAAATTAACAGACTTGGTATTACATGGATCTCACAACTTTTTACGGTAGAACTGAGTTGCGAGACTTGGCTTTTTTTACAAGTTATGTTTTTGATGGCATCCATATGACTTTGAGAGGTTAAAACAAAGATAAAAAATAATGCAATATAACCAGCATAATAATTAAAACAGGGTGACCTTTACTTTTCGTACGAGTTTTATTAGGATTTTTACTGATATAAAAAGGCAGTTTTAATGCTCGTCGAAGAATGAAGGTACAGGTTCCTTGTTATTTCGAGGAGTAGGATGGAATGCCTCACAGCCTGTGCTAGCTCTCTTCCCCTTTTAACAAAACAGACTCGTCTAACACACAGAAGCCAGGACCCGTTGGTTAGACTGACCAAAACCCTTCATCTAGTTTCTAGGCTGCCTAGAATTTTATTAAGAGCATGTATAAAATACATTTTCTGTATCTTAATTGATCTTTAGGAATTTTTTGTCTCAAATATTAATATCCTTACTCCATTCTGCATTTGTCTCAAATATGAATGCCGTCTAAATAGGCTTGCCAACATTAGTGCACGGATTTGCGGGAAAATTGCAATCACAATGCGGGACTTGGCTAAAAAAAGCGAAACAAATCGGTATGAAACAGTGAAAGTATGGAACAGTGAAAAATTTTATCAGAAATAAGATTTTACGTTCATATTTTGAGTAGTTTTTTATACGATTTCACAAAAGGTTCTACATACGACGCGTATATCGTCATTTAAAATATGCTATACAGGTGTCCGGTAATGAATGAATAACATTGAAACAATATATTTTAATACCGTTTACCGACCTGACTACCATTATAAAATTACAAAAAAGAAATAAATATATATATCCCAAATAGTATCTAAATTACAAATTCATTCATTTGTGGCCGTGGTGAAGAAAAATGTAAAGTAAGGTAAAAAAAGTTAATATTTTTTTCTAAAAAGTTGTCTCTTAGGTACTACTTGGGATGTATTTTTTCAAGAATGGTAATAAGAAGATCTATTACATGCTGCTTCAAGGTTATCCGCTCATTACCAAACACCCGATATATGCTGTATATGCCGACTTCAAAAAAGGAATAGGTTTAGATTTCGACTTTATGTTTTTGAATGTATATATGTTCGACAATTGTGATACGATTGTGATGATTCTTTTTTTATTTAATAGGTTGTAAATGTGTCCCCATATA